TAATCAACTGGTTTTAATTAGATAGAAAACTTTGAATCAGTTTGACAGCATGATCTATTGAATTGTAAAGTGCCTTGAGATGACTTGTGTTGTGAATTGGCGCTATAGAAATAAACTAAATTGAATGGTCATGTACTGAGTTACAAATAAACTTACCTTGCCTTGCCTTATTGACAGGTACATTCTCGGGCAGTTACCGTGAGCCAGGACTGAAGTCAAGGAAAAAGTGCATCAGCCCCATTTTGAGGTAACTGGTCCGTAAACTAACAGACTATGCATGAATGGAAACCTAATGATTGTGTTCATTTTCAGTTCCGTGTGTATTGCATTATTTTCTATTCTAATTTTGTAATAAAGGATTAAACATGTTAAGATCCTAGTTAAATCCAATGTACAATCTTTTGCCATATTATTTAAATAGTAAATTCATGGTAAGTTAGTGGCTACTGAGTTGCATTACTTTTACAGTAACAATGTAAGAATATCCACATCCACATATTGTGATTTCCAGCTACATTCAGCTTTATCACAGTTTTTGCCACTGAGGTTACAACATCTAACTGTGATTTTGGTGGAAATGACTCACCATAACTTACTGTGAAATATTTACAGAGAAAGATTGTGATATATGCCAGCAATTTACCGTAAATCTATAGTAAAAAATCCAACACAGTACTTCTTTTCTTGGCTTTTGAATATTTGGTGGTTCCAGCAACACATTGCCTTACTATGCTGTAGTGATATTAGCCCAGCTGAGATTGAAGCTCCACACTAAATGAAGCCAAAGATAGAGAAAGGATGTTTTTACATACATGACTAACAGAAATAATTTTGGAAAATATAACAAAAGTTGGTATAAAGGGGTAGTTCTCTAACTTTTCTGGCCAGCCACCCTTTGTTTTACAAAAAGGATTTTTCACACAATTACCCAATGGGGAACCATTATTCAGTATATAAAAAAATTCAGATTCAGTAAGAGTGATGTGACATTTTTGGTCAATAATCATTACGGTCTATGATTCAACTTACGCACAGTCTGGGTTTTATGTAGTTTTTTTTCAAGGATATATTTCTTAAATCTTATATTGCTGTCATGATCTTGGCACTGATGGCTGGATTATTGGTTTATTTCATCCACCTGCTTAGCTCCGCCCAGTTTTCATTAACACTCATTGGACCCACCAATTCCAGTTCCTATTTAAACTGCTTGGTCCCAGCCATCAGAGCCAGATTATTTGAGCCGTTTGTGAGAGTTCTCTAGCGTACCCAGTGTGTTTCTGATGACCTTATCCTGACTTGTTTCTGCTTCTGAACTTTTGAGTTTGCTTGCCCCTTTTCTCATCTGTTTTGACAGACCTGTCTTCAGACAGCTCTTTGGACTCTGTTCCCTGTCAGAGTTTCGTGGTCACTAACCTAAGTTTCTAGTTTTACAGAGATTCCAGTCATCATGTCCCAGAGGACGAAACCACAGATTACTTAGCAGTAAATAAACATTTTTTTTTTTTTATCACTTGTGTTCTGTCTGCCTGAATTCTGGGTCCTACACTCTGAGTCCTGACAATTGTAGGAATTTTATAAACTTTGCTAAACAACTTGTGTTTGTAGAGGCATATGTTGGGGCATTTTCTAAAACTGCTTTTCTTTACACTAATTTCGCAATTTTACTGTATTTACCAAAAGTAAGAAATATATCGTGCATTAAGTGGTGATGTCATCTAGCCAACAGTCAAACAAAGAACGGTCAACAGTAGTTAATTACATATTACAATTAAATTAGCTACAAGCTTCTTTAAATCATACAGCTACTAATTTTGAAGTGCAAATATTTTAATATTAACTATGAATGCAATGATTGATTAAAGAATTTATTGACAGTTAATTGATCATATCTATTGAGAATTAATAAGTCGCTATTTACTCTTGTATCAAGAGGCTCTATTCATAACATTAAAGGCCAAATTTCTTTTTTGCAACATGGTGAATCAAAAAAGTAGTACATGTATCAAATATTGACTGAATAAACACATTTTTTACACATTATTAAAGTAGATATATTTATATGTAAGGCTATAAAAAAAACAGGGACCTAATAGATAACAGAATAAAAAGAGTATGTATGTAAATGGTTTATGACTTCTAATGAATAGAAATGTAAATGATCTTTAACAGACAGAGTATATCACTCTTAACATGCTCATTGCCAAAATAATCTAGAAATAAGTAACAATTTCTTAAATTAAGCGTATATAACCTCAATTTGAGTAGGTAAGTAAGATGATTTGCCAATGGAATAAGTTTTTTCACTCTTAAAATAAGATAATTAGATAAGATTCACTTGAAATAAGGCAATGAAAGTGGTTTTTCTTATTTTAAATGTAAATTGTATTGTTCAATTGGCAAAGTGTCTCACTTACCTCATTAATTCAAGAAAAAATGCACTTGATAACTGTGATCTAGCTCTATGGGTTTAGTCTGACTCTGCTATTAGCAGAGCTTGTAAAGCGATTGTTCTAGTTGCTCTCAGACGAATGTTAAAACTAGGCTTCATGAAGTCCTTCTCTCACTAAATTCTTACCGTGCTAAATGCTAGCATGACTTGTTATATCATGTTTCGATTATGTAGCGTAATTCCCTCCACTTTTCTTTGATCACATCCATGCTTATCAAACACAGCAGAGAAGTTACTATTGCTTTGCCTCAGGCGTTATTTAGGGGAGAATTGAAGGGGTTTATGTACTCTTGATAATTACAAATAGAGCCATAAAGTCATTCTGCATTCTGGTCTAAATTTTGATCTAATAAACCATTAATTTACAATTTACAGAAGAGGATTAGGGCCACTGGAAAAAAACAAACAAACTGATTTTTAAATATTATTTCAGTTTTATATGGGGAAAAAAGTCAGAATTCTGACTTTAATCTCAGAATTCTGACTTTTTTTTCCAGAAATATCTCTTTTTCTCAGAATTCTGACTTTATTTTTCTCTTAGATTCTGACTTTAATCTCAGAATCCTGACTTTTTTCTCAGAATTCTGACTTCTTTTCCTCAGAAATATTATTTTTTTCTCAGAATTCTGACTTTAATCTCAGAATCCTGACTTTTTTCTCAGAATTCTGACTTTTTCTCAGAATCCTGACTTTTTTCTCAGAAATATTACTTTTTTTCTCTCAGATTCTGATTCTAATCTCAGAATTCTGACTTTTTTCCTCAGAATTCTGACTTAAATCTCAGAATCCTGACTTTTTTCTCAGAATTCTGACTTTTTTTCTCTCAGATTCTGATTCTAATCTCAGAATTCTGACTTTTTCCCTCAGAATTCTGACTTACATCTCAGAAGTTTGACTTTAATCCCAGAGGTTCACTGACAAAGATGTGAGGTGTTTAGGAGGGCCAGTAACACATTGGTGAAAAATGATGGAATTAGGTGACTTTTTACATCCCCTGGTGATGCTATTTCATTAATGGAAGGGCAGAAGGATTAAAACAAGAGAGCTAGTTTAGTGTCTAAAACAGACCTGGCTACAGCTTGATGCTAACATGTTTGTCAGCTGTCAGAATTCTGACTTTTTTCTCTTATCATACTGAAATAAAATTAAAAAATCAGTTAAGTTTTTAAATTTTTTCAGTGGCCCTAATCCTCTTCCCCAACAATGAATCCCTAATGTTAGCTGCTTAGTTACTGTTTTACAGATTTCAACATTGCTATCATTATTATTATTTTTAAATGCTACTCAAAATGAGATATTTAATCATGGGTTAAAGCTGATGTCGTATGGATAAAAACGTCAACCTTACCTTAAAAATAACACTTTACCTTAAACCTTGGCTGAAAAATAAAACAAATTGTCTAAAAAAGGGAAACAAGTTTTCCAAGCAACAGGCATTCAAAGTATATAAAACAACTAATGCATTTTTTATTTGCTCTCAGTTAAATAATGTCAACAAATATATTCAAAGAATAGTCCAAGAAATGAGCAGAAATGGAAAAAAAACAACTATTATACTGTATATTGCCATCAAATATAACAACTCATACAAGTAATTATTGTATCAAACATCCTCAAAGGTCCAGAATTTCATTGGTTCTATGCAGACGATGACAGTACCTCTGTCTGAAGTCAAAACATTACCCACACTGCTTAAATACTGCGGTCTAGTCTAATTCCTTTAAAGCTCAAAAAGAAGAATGTTTGATTCAGCTCAGGTGGGAGCGGCTTCAGAGGCCTGGGTCCAACTTTGGCTGACAGGTGGCGCTAGAGTTTAAAACATCAGTCCATTAGAGGGCCGATCAATCCATTAAAAGAGGAAGAGAACATAAACCAAAACGCCTCAGGAACACATGGACTTACTGCAGTTCCGCTAATGGATAATCTAGAGAACAAAGCACTGTCATGTTCAGATCTATACAGAAGTAATGGAAAGCTGTACAGAGATTCTCGTCACCAACGGACATTAAAAACGAAACTTTGTGAAAAAAACCTTTGACCTCTAAGAGGATAAAACCCTAAAATGAAACATGAGATAGGTATTCAAATCCCCCCTCCCCTCTCTTTTTGTCCCTAGTTACCATCACGCCATGGCGAACAAAACATATGTAACAAATGATGGTGCCATTTTTTTTCTCCATCTTTTACCAATGCTGATCAGATCCTCTTTTTGTATCTAATGGGTGTTCATGCAAATAGAGGAAGCCAAGTTCAGTTTGCTTCTATACTTTTACAGCTGTATGAGGTGATTGTAGATGGTTAGCAGTCTTGGTTCTGTTTGGAACCGCCTCACTCGGTTGGCTATTTTTATTTGAACATTTCCTAGAAGAAAAAAAAAAAATACACGGTTTACATTGTGTATAAAAACATTTCAAAGTCAACCAACGCAGTTTCGATGAGTCAAATCCAGTGTGCTAGCTGTAGAGCAGTGCTTCAAGAGGTTGACTTGGTTTAAGGGGGGCGACTTTCCGTCCAAAACACCTACAGCAGACAGCAGGTAGACGGTTTTCCCCGAGCACTGTTCAACATTCAGGAGAAGAATGAGATTCCAGTCCAGGAACCTCCCGAATCCATGTTTCCATGACAACTGGGGTAAAAAAAACAAAAAAACTAAAACAAATGGCAATCATGAAACCCTTTTTTTTTTTGGTGGTCTGGGATGCAACTTGGCAGATGCCTGGACCAATGGAGACCTACAGTCTGCAAATACTTATTCACCAGAGTTCGAGAACGTTTCAACCATCTCTACTACTTTTGTTCATGCATTCGTCTAAACAAAACAGCCTTTCTCTGCTCTGCAGGACTGTGGGTCAGTCAGCTGTTGCATTCCCTTCCAATGGCCATCGTGTACATTCCCATTTTTTCCCCCAATGGCATGGCACATAACTGCGTTTAAAACCTTTCTCTGTCCAGTACAGTTAAAAAGTTTCCAGAAATGCCTCATCCACTCTATATGAGGTTCTCTGTTCATAGCGTGGTATGAGGTCACTTTAAAGCAGTCCTTAGGCGGTCTTCTTGAAGGAGCCGTTCAACTCTCCAAGGTCTGTACAAAGTCAAACATCCCACCAACGTAAAGGGGTAGCACCTGAACGGTGATTCTACCAGATGTCAGAGCTTAGTTCTCTGCTGGTGAGCGGTACGAACGTGCTGTTGAGGTGGAGGTCTGGCTTCTTCCCAAGCGTACTGCTCTGAGACACCTGGCAAACACAGAGACACACGTATCATTTATTGGTTAAACAACTAAAAACAAACTACAGTAACACAATAGAAACAACAAGATAGCTAGATATTCAATGCTTTATGCGCAGACATCTGTGACAAAAATCATATCCCTTAAACTTTTTCACATTTTGTCACATTTACAACCAAAACTTGATATATTTAATTGGGGTTTTTGTGACAGAACAACACAGAGTACTGCATGATTGTTATTATGAGGAAAAATGAGATATGATTTGAAATTTTCTACAAATAAAAACTTGAAAAGTAAGGCACTTTAAGGGTTCCTAGAATTTAGTAGAATGGGAGGCAGATCTTTTAGTTAGCAGGCTCCTCTCCTGTGGAACCAGCTACCAGTTTTAGTCTGTAAGGCAGAAATGCTGTCTACTTTTAAGGCTAGACTTTTCAATAAAACTTATAGTTAGAGTGGCTCAAGTTATCCTGAGTTATCAGTTATGCTGCTATAGGCTTAGACTGCTGGAGGACATAGGGACTCCTTTTCCTCATTGTGCTTCATTCTATCTCCATTCTCCACTCTGCTGTATTTGCTAATTTCATCTCTTTATGCTTTAAACACTCTCAGCTTTTTCTCATCATAGTAGCTTAATCTGGTCTCTTCCTGTTTGGCCGTGACTCCATCCTGGAGAGAAATATCAGCTGTGTTGCTGCCATCAACATCATATGCTGTGTTCACACCGAACGCAGCAGAAGCCGCAAGCAGCGAGTTTACATACAAAGTCAATGGTTGATGAGCGTCAAGGCGCAGCAAAAGGTACCGCGGCATGTTTTGAGCAGCAGGCGCAGCGCGTCTGAGCAGCTGAAGCATCGCATAGGGAGCGTTCAAGCATCTGACGCGCATGACACGCTGCTGCTCGAGATGGAAAAATTTAACTTTTGCTGCTCGGCGCGCCGCATCAACCAATCAGAGACGCTGATCTGGGAGCTGGCAGGGAGAGAGACACATCGCTGATGACACAGAGCGCTGTGATCACTCCTCTGAAACAGCTTATTAACGCCTAGATTAACTTAAAATACTGAAACCTGTCGACAAAGTGTGTTCGCTTTTATTTTCCTGGTGCCTGCAGTTTGGATTATGTACATGAAAACCGCCTTCCAGCCGCCGCGGCGAACCACAAGGAGGCGACCGGTCCAGAGGCTGCTGTTGAATGGGATTCCTACTTACAGTGTATGTGGGGTTCTGAAGGGCTCCGACAGAAATCATAATGGAAGGCAGGATGATAATCTGGATGTACTGACTGCAATGATTAAGTTTTCAGGTGGATTTTCTCACTTAAAAACATATTAAAACTACTTTATTCCCACTGATCAAAGCAAATATAGCTGCAAGGCAGAGAAAGGATAGTGAAGCTCCACCCAACGCGCGTCAGACACACTTTTCGACCGCACAGCCGCTCGTCAGAACTAACTGGTACAAGCAGCAAAAATGAAGCAGCAGACGCGATTTGGCTGCTCCTGCTGCATCCGGTGTGAACGTAGCATTATGTAGTATATGATGGAGTTGGGCCTGTTTTTCAGTCTTTAGTCCTGTTGCTCTCCTAGAGTATCACTATGTCTCTATGGGCTCAGCTTTTAGTGTGACTAACTGGATGTGCTCTTTTTCATCCCTTTCACATGAAAGGGATGAAAAACCATTTTCTTTTCTATCATAGAAAGTATATCAGTGCTTCTCTGTTCTTTTTGTACGTCTGATTCTCTCTCCTTGAAACCCCAGTTGGTCTCAGTAGAAGGCCACTCACAATGAGCCTGGTTCTGCTGGAGGTTTCTTCATTTAAAAAGGGAGTTTTTTCCCCCTCCACTGTCGCTACAAGCATGTTTGGTGTGAGGGATTGGTGTCGAGTCAACGACACAATGCAAGTAAATATCTACTGTCTCTACATGCTACATACATCCAGGAGGATTGTGTCCTGCAAATTCAATAATTGGATGCAGTCAGTTGGTTTTCCATAAATAGAAATTTTTTTATCAATTTGATCTGGTTGAATTGACTCTGTAAAGAGCCTTAAGATGACATTTGTTGTTAATTGGAGCTATAGAAACAAACTGAACTGAATTATATAGCTTTGTAACACTATAAAATATAGAGGCTATTGTTTTTCCCATCAGTTTTATTAAGTTTAAACAGTTCTTATGTCACGATAAAAAGTAACCACCTTCATGATGAAAGTAACAAGAGTTTGGAAATAAAATAAGAGCATACAAACAGATGATACTTCACAGAGAAAACTTTAATTGTCGGCATTGACTCTCCTTGACCTAGAACACTGATTATTAGTATTAGTATCTCGGTATGGCTGGAGCCAGTGATGCCTCATCATTTACAAACAACATGTGTATGATGCAATGATGTGATGATTTAGCAGGGTGTAGCCCTGTAGATGTATAATAGGCTTATTTTATATGTTATTCAGGGCTGCTCTTCTTCCTGATGAAGAAAGCACAGTAAGGCTTGTTGTATGTAACCAGAGACATTTCTCTGGTATAAGATTAAATTCTGCCCTGTGATAGACAGCCGACCTGTCCAGGGTGGACCCCACCTCTCGCCTGTAGACAGCTGGAGATACCACCAGCACCCCTAGCGACCCCAGCTGGGAGAAGCATGACGGAAAATGGATTGACGGAAGATTAAAATCTGTTTCATTCTGTTAAACCTGCCTATAAAAATATTGAAAAAACGTTTGTGTTTGATGTGCGACAAAATGTGAAAAAATATTGAGGGCTATGAATACTTGTCCATGTTGCTGTTTATAATCATCCTTTCTCATTTTTGTAAAATAAACACATATTTTAGCCTTTATAAAACAAAACTTTTTTTCTTTTATCTTCTCTTATCCAAACGGACCTCTTGTTCCCAACTGAACTGCTCTCAACCCCTGGGGAGAGAAGAGGGCTTTTGTTTTTATTTCATTTAAACTCTGAGCACAAGAACATAACTTCATTCACAGATAGTCTGTGTTGTAGGTGGATGTTTAGACGTTGTCTAGGGGCAAGAAAAACTATGAAATGCAGGTTCTTACCTGCCCGTTAAGCAGCGTCATAGGGATGTTGCAATACACATGACGCCCCCCAGGGCCCAGGGTGGAGAACTGCACCGTTGAGGGAGGCGGGAGGGGTGGAGACATAGAAGAAGGCTGAGGAGGAAGCTGGAACTCGTAGCTGCGACAGAAGTGCCGCATTTGGGCTGCTGTAGCGGTGTGACCCCCTCCTAATGGCAAGGTCATCTGGTTGTAGTCAGGGATCTCCGTTGCCAAGGCAACCTGCTGGTTAAAAAGGGGGAAAAAAAGCCTTTGAGACTTTTAACTTCCTCACCAGGGTTGAAAAAAAACAATCAAGTAGGTAATCAAATAACAAAATCAGGAAAATCCAGATTAACAGGAGACATTTAAAAACTCTCAAAACATTTTAAAACAACAATGGATCCATCAGATGAACAGAGAGCCACTTATTAGAGAACTGACTACAAAAACTGAGCATCTAACTAAATCTCACAACCTTAGATCAGCCAGAAATACTGTTTTTTAATCCTGTTTTGAGAATAGGGTTACCAAGAAAAAGCTGATTTTATTCACTAAGACAATTAAACTGGAGAATATATATCATGATATCAAAAATAATATATGGTGCAAACTTTTGTCCATTATTAATGCAAAAAAACATGCTTTGTAAATGGAAACAAAAAATATGAAACTTTGCTGATTTCTGTAAAAAAAAAAATCTGATTTTATTTTTTAGCTTCCTCTTTTTCAGATTTTAATGATTTTATAACAATTGAGTTCTTTTAAATTGTGTTTTATAGATAAAATTCTGTTCACTTCAAGCCCCCCCCAAAAAATGCTGGAGTTTCCCCAATAAAAGGCAGCTTATCACAGGCTAACACTGGTGTCTCATAGGCTGTTGTTAGCGATGGATAGGCTGACATTAGCACTGAATAGGCTGGTGTTAGCTTTTTATAGCATGATATTAGTTTTAGTTAGACTGGTGTTAACTTTGGTTAGCCTGGTAAAAACACTGGGTAAGATGGCATTAGCTTTGGATAGGCTGGTGTTAGCATTGGATAGGCTGGTGTTAGCATTGGATAG